TCTCAGCTTTGTGGGTATCAGCATACGCAACTTTGATTTCAAATGAAATACCTGATACTTCAAAACATCTGAATCTACAAAGAGTCTGAAGACCTGCCAATAAGGAAGTAAGTAGTGTGCAGCAACTACGGAATGGAATGAACTGACAATATAGGATTCTTAACAGGCACCAGAGAAGGCTGACATTACCCCTGGACTCAAATTCCAATTTAGCTGCTGATTTGCAAAGTGATCCAGGAGCACAAGATGTCCCCTCAGGTCATCCTGCACGTTGCTTTTTTTATAAAAAGTTTTTGGGTTTTTTTAAAGTCCCAGTACTTGAGGTTTTTGGCCTTGAGGACCCTATTCAGATAGAAGGCGACCAAGAAATGTTTGAAACAAATAACCAACCAAGACATCTCTTGAGACCAGAGGCTGCTCTGGGCTCAGCTGGCCAATTCGTTCAGCCAGGACGTGGCCATCTTTTTGCTCTGGAGCTAAACTGGGTTGACGGATTTGAATCCATGGCTTCTGATCTGTCGGCCTTGTCTGGCCCCAGCACAAAAAGACGGCCGAGCCATACCGGTGTGTAGTGCCAACCAAAAAAGCTCTGACCTTGCATAATAACATGGTCAGGATCGATGTGAGAGGACTGTTACAAAGATGGATAAGCAAATATTATAATTTTACAAAGGGAATACAAATGGAAATGACCTATTATCAAGCACATTTCACTTTCACATGCTTGTCCAATGGTTTTAAGGATTCGGGAAAGGCCTTTTTTATTTTATTACCTGCTTTTCTACTAAAGCTCTTAAAGTAGCAGACTGAAATAAGAAACCCAGATAACTGTAAATAAAAACCATTAACATTCATATATCTGTTGGCACTCAGGCATGCTGAACAGCTTCAAGATAAGAGACATGCTGCTTCCATGGAAGTAGTGCTATTTACAGAGGAAGTCTTATGATCTAAACAAAATAGTCTACCATCTCTATTTTAAATAAATTATAATGGAGAAGGTCCCACTGTGATCAAATGGATTCACTTCCACATTACATAATTTAGACTGGAAGATAGGCACCCCAACCAACCTGTTCACAAATGCTACTCCCTTTTGAACACGGGTTAACTAGTGGCGTTGATGCCAGACTTTGAAGAGTGGTCACAGTTGACTTCTATACTGCACTACAAAACTGAAACAGCTTAACCCATTATATATAGACATAGCTTTGTGAAAGAAAACACAGTTAATAAGTAGGATTAAATATGTTTTCTAGTTGACAGCTTAAGCCAAAATGTGTTGCTGACCTTTAAAAAAAAAACTGGTATGACTACAATTAATGTTTGGTTAGGATTAGTTTTCAATTGGCAATAGATCAGTTTCCCAGTTTACAGGCTACAAAAAGTGAAATAAGAGTCCATGTTTGTTTTTTAAAAACATGTAATTTATGCAGTTTCTCACTGCAGCTTCTCTGTGACCCTGTGTAGTTTGGACAAATATGAGTTACGGTCTCAGGTCATTGCTGAGCCAAGTCAACAGGAAAATAAAACTACTGACAGGAGTGGGATTCACCAAGGAAAATGCTGAATGTTCCAACTCCTCTGTTGGAGAAGGGCCAGTGAGGAGCATGAGGCATAATCCTTTGGCTACAGTGGCATGTTTTCTCAACGCTTTCCCCTTTCAGAGGCCTTTTCTCTAAGTCTATTCTTCTTTCCACCCCACTGGGGATTAAGAGAAGAAATGATGCAGTTTCTGCTCCTCTAGGGTGCTGTTATCATAGATGCTCACTCAAATGAGGAAGATTGCTGAACTAGTAAGCCCATGCATGCCGCTATACTGCTTGTTTCTACAAACCAATTTTTAATACATAAAGTAACATGGGACACAAATGCACGTGTGTGTGTGTGTGTGTGTGTGTGTGTATAGTAATCCAATGTATCCAAGATCTCCCATCATTAGTGTGCTTATTGTGCTTTGGTTTTTGCACCTTCTCCGTTGACACAATTTCAAAGTTGTCTATGCTGCAATAGACCCCTTTACTAAACTCTGCAAGTCACACTGTGATTACAGCCCAGGCTCCTAGATATGAGCTTGAATACTGCTATTACATGCACATGCACATTGACACCTGTTTGCTTACTTTAAACAACAGTTTATAGAATTACTTCTGGAACTTAAAAACATAGAAAATAGTCCAAATTTTAAATATATGGCAGTAACAAATGACAAGATCAAGCTCTTACAAGTTGTGCACATTCCCAAGAGGTACGTTTGTGTAGGTAAATGCTAACAGTAATCAACGTTTGGCGTTTGCACATTCTGCCAAGTGGCCCACCTATGTTCCATCCAGTCAGCCCCAAGAAGTGACAGTGGCTCCTAGTCCTGGTCACTGGGACCGTGGATTCCAGACTGCATTCGTTCCATGGCTTATTTGGACTGCTGTCCATACTGACAAACCAATGTGTCCCTGAGAGATGTTCAAAGGTTCTCATTGATCCTGTTTTCCCAAGAGACTATAAAGACCTGAATATGGTGCTGCCAAATATAATGCGTCAATCGGGTGATCACAAATATGGCCAAGAACAACTTCCTTGATTGCCTTTGTGATTTATTCTTGACAGTGCATAACAGAAACTGCTGCTGGCCATACTCATAATCACTGTGTGTGCGGACAAGAATGTGCAATGTGGCTTCTAACCTTTGCACATATACAGAAGTTTGGGAGAGAGGTTGGTAAAATACTGTGCAATTTATTTAGCTCTGAAGACTTTTTGTGTTGCTGTCTCATGTTCAGATTTATCTCTACAAGCACAAAAAAGGAATAAATAAAATCTCAGGATACTAATACTGTTGTCCCATAGCAAAGTCATAGTGGGTTCAACATTCAAATGTCATTAGTTTATGCAGTGGTATTTCATTTATGGATTCAAGAGCATATGATACATTTAAACTTCAACGCTGTTGTGAAGATCAACATGACTTGCAAAGTACTTTGTAAATAAATTGCAAGAAGCATTAGTTTGACTAGTATGTGATGTGTTTTAACTGATGCTTTGTATTTATGTTTTATTGTGTATGAATACTGCTTGTCAGTTTTGGAAGCCGCCCTGAGCCCGCTCGCGGGGAGGGCGGGGTAAAAGTGGAACAAACAAACAAATAAATAAATAACACGAGCCTTTACCAATAATACAGGTTTGGCAGCCAAACCCTCTGGGATCTCCTGGCTATTCCACACACAATGCCATACAATAATTTTAGTTTTCACCAACAACTTACCAATATTCAGGTCTTTCTCAAACTAGATGAAAGGAGGGATGGTAAAATTAACAGAAATGTTGCTTTAATTCTACAAGGTGCCTCTGAGCACATCAAAGTACCATTAAGGAAGTACAGCTTCTGCAATTACATCCACTTTATTGAATACAGTCTGAAATCAGACAGCTACAGCTGTGAACACACAATCTTTAAAACACGCAAACTCACTTGCATTTCAAGGAAACAGGGAAATAAATTCTACACTGTAGAAAGTAGTCATAATTGCCTCTATCCACGTTCAGGCATGGAATGGTAACCACTACTGCAAGACTGCAGTCTAGGAATTTATAAAGCCTCATTCAAGGGAGACCTATTATAGGCAATAATTTGGACCTAGAACAAAGAGGACGCTTTTGGTACACGGCTAAAAATTTTGCTATATCATCCTAATGTACAAAAGACCCACTGGGCCTTCATAAAAGATTGTGAAGTGCTTCTTTCTGCAACCCAGTTCTGAAATTCTTTTGGAACAAGATTCCTTTTACTGGATTACTATATCTAGTACAGTGCTATGGATAGAAGGGAGATCATCAAGCCTCAATGCAAACAGAGCAAAGCTTGTTCATTCTCCAGTTCAATGTATTTAGATGTCTCACAACTTGATCCTAAACATACCTGCTTAGGAGTCGGCCACACAGATTGTCCAATGGGACAGCAAACACACTTACTTCTGAATAAATATGGACAGTAAGGACCTTACAAGCAGACAGGGTTGCTCAAAATTAAAAAAAAAAAAGACACTCTGGTGCACCAATATTGTGAAATAAAGAACATCCTTTAAGGTGGTATGATGTTTTACCATAAAGAAAAATAAGCAAGTTACAAATTTGGTGAGCAAATTAAAATAAAAATTGAGAAACACATCATAGAGAGCACCAAACAGATCTAAAATCTAGCAGTCAGTCCATTCCCTATCAACCATCACTGACATCTCCTATGCTAGTATCTGTACTACCTGAAGATTCATGTCCTGAGATCTGTGGTTTACTGTACTGCACAGAATCCAGATGTCTACTCTTACCTGCTTTTCTCTGTTTTAGTAAAACTGAAGAACACTGAATTTATGCAGATATTGTATTCTCCTGGTGCTCAAACAAAGCACAATGTCTAGCCACTGGAAAAACATGCATTCTCCCTCCTACTACTGTAGTGGTTGCTTTTGTAATTCTGTCACAGAATACAACTAACTGCACAAGCCGGATGGACTCATTAGAAAATGCCTATGACATCACCAAAAATGAGTGGAAAGACCTTCTGCTGCCATCGCCACAACCACGCAGAAGTGATTTTCAAGGGCAGTCAGATCACTAGCAAAAGATTTTAACTGAGCCTTAATACACGAAGATCTTCTATTGGTACTGAGAACATAAAGTTATTTCAGCTTGTCAAGTCCCAACTAAATATGACTGTGGCAGGTTTGACTCAAGAACATGTTATGCGGGGAGCACAGGGCAGGAGGACCTATTTTAAGAACAAAAGAGGTGATAAACATTCCCCTCTGCTGCAACTTATTTTCCTGTAGTATGACTTTCCAGGCACTGTTTTCTCAACTGGCTCACAGACCAATCATTCTGAAGAAACACCAACATTACTGTGAACTTGTGCTTTTGGTTGTGGAAACATTATGTGTCGTTCACTATCATAATTATCACTTTGAAAGCAACTTACATGACACATTCGTGCCACAGAATACTCAGGGCTTTCACCAAAATCATAAAATAGGTTTTCTGGTGGCAGGGTAGAAGATATACTTATACCTGATATTGATAATCTTTCAAGTATTCCTTTAGTCTTGTTGGTAAAGGAAGTTCCTGGATCTCTTTTGTGTACCTGTTAATAGCTATTCTACAGTGGTGCTGCAGAGAGGGAGCCGAATGGTAGAGGGGTTTATTCAAATAAAGATGGACTGTTCCATTGCAAGGCATCTCAGTGGCAGTACTTCTGTCCTGGCACATAAGGACATAATATTCAATCAGGTGGACCACACTGTTGAACTGCCGGAGCCTTGATCGGACACAGATGATAGAATCCAGTCTGAATTTCCCATCTTGAAATTCTATACGTAGGTTGGTCGGTCCCGCTGATGTTTTTACCGAAATAGTAAGCAAATACTCCGAGTGCGAGCTGTCTCTGACCAAGAAAGTCCCTTCAGAAGTATCTTGTAATCTCTCTTTGGCTTCTGCAACACTCATGTTACCCCAGTACCATCCTGATACAGAGAGGAAAATAAAAGTTATTCAAGATTTTAACAATTTTTTTAATGTGTAGAGTCTATCAGAAAAATAGTGCGAACTTGGGTGCATAGAAGAATTTTTGGTGTGAGCCATTTTGAGACCCCAGAGTTAAGTTCAGACCCCTGCTGAGTCATTCACTGTATGACCGTGAGCCACCCTCTGTTTCCCGTCTGTAAAATGGGAATGAAAGTGACCTCTCTGAAGACAAAAAAAGGCAATGATTCACAAATTAAGATTGAGGTCCTAAATAAATAGTCATTTGGGAGCAAGTCCCATTACATTCTTTGGAACGGTGCAAGTGCTATATATGGGACAATCCGTCCTGTACTTATTTTTAATAGCACCTGCAAAAGCCAACTTTAATCACAAAGTATTCCAGCAAAGGTCTGACTCCTGAAATTATCTAAAACAAGCTTTACAGAGAAATACAAAAGTAATTACAGTGCGGCAGCTGTGTTAATCTACAATAGGAAAACAAAACATTAGTCAAAGTGACACATTAAAAGATTAAACTACATTTATTTCAGTTATGAACTTCCATGAGACAGAACTTCTTCAGATGCTAGACTATGAAACTATAGCCCAAGAAGATACTGCTGCTTTGCTTATTTTACAAAAAACAAGTCACAGAAAATCAGGGAGGGACATTTACTTTTCTGCAACAACTTAAATGTTTAGAATGACCACATCTCCTTCTACACCTGTAACAAATTTTACCGTTTAACAGAAGACATTTTGCCTTTCTAGTTAAAAGGAGACCCATTTTGTTCCTGAAGCTCACTCAATACAATTCCCACCACAAAGTAGTAAAATTCTAGCTAAGTCTCTTTCGGGGAAAACGCAGCATGTGATAAGCTACCACGCACTGAACTAATTACTTCCCAAACCAAGGCATCCCTTCGGAGTGCTCTTCTGGAAAAAAAATTAAACGGTCCCCAAAGCACCGTTCTGCTTTCCTAGAAAGACTCCCGCAGTTCTCGATCTCCCCGAGAAACCTGCCTTAAGTTTCCAACCGTTTGATTTAGAATGGAATCATTTAAAGCCACCCCAGTTTATAATCAACACCTCACTGCTGCCCCCCCCCCGAAGTTCCGAAGCCCCGAAGCCAGGCACCATTCCCAAGTTGCTGTAAGCAAACCATGTAAATTTACTAGCCCGGCACGTCTGATTATTGTTCGTTTTCACAAAGCGCCGCGCCCCAATCGGCGTTGTGCCTCCTGCCCTTCATTCTCTTAAATCAAGAATCATTGCACCGAAATCCCACAGGCAAGAGGAGGCACGAGGGTCCCAAAGGCGCCCAGATCTAACAGAGGGGAGCTCCGCGTGGCGCCTGCGGGAAGACGAAGGCAGGTGGCGGCGAGAGGGAATTGTTTTAGCTCCGCGGAGCATTGTGGTCCCGCTCCCCCGTCCGAGCAGAGCAGCCCCCCCCTTCCCTTCCCGCTTCACACCCGCTCACGAGGCTTCCTCCTCCTCCTCCGCCTCTTCTCCGGAATCCGCGTCTGCAAGAGTTTTTCGTCGAGCCCCAGTCAGCCTCTGGGGTGGCCGCCCGCCGGCCACGAACAGCCGCTCCGGGGCCGCGGAAGCCCTCCCGCCTGCGCTCGAAGGGCAGGAAAGAAGCGACCCGGTTCGGGGCCGCCCGGCGCGGGCTTACCTGAGCGTCTCAGCTCCCGCATGGCAGCGTCCAGGCGGTCCGCTTCGGCGTGCTCCGCCGCAGCCCCTCCAGCCCGGTCGGCGGCACCATCCGCGGATTCGGCCGAGCGCAGGGTCATTTGGGGGCAGAGACGGGGGAGCCAGGAGGAGCACCTTGCCCTCAGCAGCGCAGGCCCTGGCGGCCGTCCCGGCCCATCGAGATCCCGCCCGCAGCAGCAGCAGCAGGCGCAACCTGCAAGCCCAGACGGGGAAGGAGGGGGAGGCGGCTAGGCGCTCCTGGCGGCGGCGCCGCCGCCGGGGTTACTAGCGGGGCATCTCCCACCGACGGCGCTAATCCCTGCTCGCTGCCCCGGGGAAGGATTTCCGTCTCCTGCCCCCCTCCCCTCAGCGCCTCGCGAGGGAGCGTCGGAGGCGACTGGAGGGAACGGGGAGGCGCTGCCCGCTCGCTCGCTCGCCCGCCACCTGGGCCCGGCAGCTGCAGCCCCAGCCCATTGGCTGCTTGCAGGGGACAGCGCTTTCCGAGCGGGCGGGCGGGCTGCTGTCGAGGAAACACGCGGTGGGCGGCCCCGGCCACGCAGGGAGCCGTGCGCATCAGCCGCCCCGCCACGCTTACCTTCGCCTGCCCGGAGGACTCGGAATGGCCGGGAGGGGGGCTGCTGTGGGGGCGGGGGCGTGTTGCCTTGTGGCGCGGGCAGTGATGGATTGCAAAGGGGCAGCAGAGGCCAAGCCGGGGCTGGCCTGCAAAGTCAGAGGACGCAGGAAGAAGCCGCCGCCGCCGAGGAGCAGCAGCCCGCCCGGCTCGCGCTCTGCTCTCAGCGGGGAAGGCGAGCTTAGGTTTATTATTCGGCTACTAGCGAGGGCAGGAAATATTCATGTGACGCGGTGGCGCCGAGCAAACACAGCCAGCAAACAGTCCTGGCTGGCAGGAAGGCGGGAGCCGCCGACATGCAGCCGAAGGAGGGGTGGTGGGGGGGGGGGCGCCGCCGCATGCACGCGCTGGTGTTGCTCGCTTTGTTCTGCTTTCCACCGATACTGCTGCAGGAATGAACCCCGCAGTTGCTGCTTGTTCGCCACAGACGACCCATTCAATGGGCGGTGGGAGGGGAGGGCGGTTTTTCGGGAGGAAAAAAGGGAAGGGGGGGGGGGGAGAAGAGAGGGTGCTGGCGGAGGGAGTCGCGGCCGCCCGCCTTCTCCTTCGCCTGCGAGAAACGCAAAGGCCGCTTTCCAAGAACTTTCCAGGAACTGCGTCACGTGACGCTCCGGTGCGGCAGCGCCTGGGCTGCAACTGGGGCCTCCTTGGCCCTGGCAGACGCGCCTCCCCCCCCCTCGGGTGGCTCTCGTTGTTGTTGTTGGGTGTCCCCCCCCCCCGCTCTCTTTTTCACAACAGGGGTGGAGGGACCTGGAGCGGTTGCAAAATAAACGGCCGCCGTCCTTAATAGCTGCCTGGCTGGCCCGCTTGCCTCCTTCCTTTCCGAAAGTGAGATGTCAGCCTCCCTCCGGGGAGCCGCCTCGCCCAGCCTGCCAGGGCTTCTGCTTGGAGGCCGCCACTGTGAGGGAGCGCGGTGTCACTTGTAACCTGGGGTCTGGGAGTGCGGCGCCGTGGGCTGGAAGGGGCTGCGGGAGACCGGGGGGGGGGGGGGGGGAGGAGTGCGTTCTGTTCTAGGGCTCAGTCCGATTGTAGTCGTGACATGGTTTCCACTTGGTAGGAAACAACCACTCTGTAGGTCGCCACACGTGTTCGCTGTGCACACACCTGCGCTGTTTATTGTGCGTCGTTTTCGTGTAAGGCACGATTGGCGGGGTTATCTTCCCTGTACGTGTGTACATCTTGGACGTACCAGATATGTTTTGTGTGGATCTGGTGTGTTCAAGATAATGATCGACAATCGGGTTGTGTGAAGAGCGTTCCTTCTAGAAAAAGCAATGTGTGACGTGGTGGCACGCGGTACACGCGGACGATTTTTGCCCAGGACACATTCTTCTCTCTCTCTCTCTGTCCTCCAGTTGAGATTTCCTGCATACGGTTGTTTGGATAGTTCAGTGTGAAACTTGGTGGGAAATTAACGTTGGTGAGATAAGGGAGGGGAGTGGCTTCTGAGAACTAAAGCACTTTTTGGTATATCCGATTATTCTGAAAACAGCTTATATTGGGGGGAAACTGGTAACTGCTTGCAGTGGTTAAAGCGGCATATTATGCACATTTTTGCTTGGAAAAAATTTGTTGGATAAGTGGAACTTTCTTTCAAGTAAATGTAGGTGTGGGCAACAGGAAACAGAGGTTGCCATCTAGCAAATCGTTCCTGGGGTTAAGCCCCGTAGACTGAAATGGACTTCAGAGGAAATTTGTTTAGGATTGCTCTCTGATTATATCATCCACCTCCTTTCTCTGAACAAAATGAGTTTACCTTGTAACCAGTGTAAAAGGAGGGCACGATGCACAATCGTATGGGCTCTCTTTTGTTGTTCAGTTGCACAGCCAAATCCGACTTTTCACGACTCCATGGACCACATCACACCAGGCCGTCATCGGAGTTTGCTCAACTTCATGTTTGTTGCATCGATAACACTGTCTAAGGGTCTCATCCTTTATTGTCCCCTTCTTCTTTGACCTTCAGTCCTTCTCAGCATCAGGGTCTTCTCCAGTGAGTGCTCCCTTCTCATTTGGTGGCCAAAGTATTTGAGCTTCAGCATGTGGCCTTCCAGGGAACAGTCAGGGTTTTTTTCTTTTAGATTGACTGATTTGATCTCCTTGCAGTCCAAGGGCTCTTGAGAGTCCCTTGGGCTCTCTTTTAGGGGTGCACAAAAAGAGAAAGCATTGTGTTAATTTTCTGAGGAAATGCACCTACTACATAAATGTGTGTGGACTGGGAAAGGTGGTTCCTACAAACTGACGAAGGTTGTACATTAAATGGCAATAGCTCCTGGTTTGGATTTATAGCAGTATTAAAATCCTGGTAGTGATAGGGTCACTTTCAAGTTAAGGACAAAATGGGATAGCATGCATTATTTTTTTAAAAAGGAAACGCGTGTTTTGCTATTAAATAAAACTTCATAACTCTGGATCAAAACAGTGGGAACAAATTGGTTTCTGGAACAGATTGCATTTAACGTGGTCTAGTTGCAAAGGCTTTTAGTGTTCCATCCGGCCTTCTGATTCATCCTGAAAGAACTCTGCAATGTAATTCTGAGACAAAACAGTCATTATTAAAGATCTGTCATATTAAAGTTATGCTTTTGTCCGTTTTGTGTATTTATGACTTTCAGATATAAACTGAATCTTGAGATTCATGCTGCTGCAAAACTGGTTTCCTCATAATTCTTTGTTTTTGTTTAAAAGCAAAGCTTATATAGTAGCTTTTTATTAGGACCAACCAAAATATCACAAAATTTAAGGCTGGAAGCCATAGACAATAGGGATTATTTCTCCTGTGCTCTCAACCGCCCTGTTTTCTTCCTCCATCCCTTTTTTTGTACTGAACATCCAGTCCAGTGAAATTTAATTGTACTGTCTTGGATGCACACCGTTCTGTGATTTTGGTTGGGGGGTGAGCCTAATGAAAGATGTTTAATGAGTTTTGTGTTTGGAACTTTTCTGCAGATTGACATGGCCGTGTTTCTATTCGGTTTTGATGAACTGCTCCAACTACTGGCTGAGAAAATGATACAGCATTAAATGGAGAATGAATACTTCAGATGGCAAATACTTATAAAATTGTACAGGAATGGTAAGAAACACAGGATTGTCTCTGAAATTTAATTAGCGATCAAACCCATACTACATATTTTTGCAGTATTCTATATTATGCAGATCATGGGAGGGTGCTGCAGGTTTTTGTTGGTGCTTTAGGATTTAGCAGGATTAAGTGGCAGCACTATAACTGTGTTCTGCTTGTGACCAGGGCTACAGTTCTAACACAGTGCAGTATTACCTTTTGATCCCCTCCTCACCCTCAGTCTTAACTTCTGGCACCCTCTAACCTGGTAGGAGTAGTCTGGATGGAAGGCAGTGGTTGCATGCGTAGAGGTGCACCCAGGTGTTTGTGGGAAGACAGTAGCTTTTCTGCTTGGGCCAAGCAGTCTTTCCAAAGGGCAGGTGGTGACTACGATGCCTAACCCAGCTGCTGGCAAAGGAGGAGGCAGCCTTTGCAGGATCCCCTTCCCTTTACTCTTGTTGAGGTTACATTATATCTTCCTTGAGGCAGAACCCTCCACCTGCCTCAGGATCCTCTTCCACGCTGGAACGTCATGCACCCAGAATGGGTCCAGCCCCACATCTTAAGCTCTTGGGGCACTGTTAGCTTGAGGCTGGTGTCACTTGGTATCACCCTTTGCTTTCATGAATAATTCATTCTTGAAAGAACTTTAAAAAAATAGTGTAAGAGTTTCTTGTTTGTGTGTGGAAAAGACCCCCCAGCTGTCTCTAAAGCTGTAAGTACTTTTAAGCATTTCAAACTTTATGATATGAAATGGATTTTGGGACCAGATTCTGGGGCCAGTACACTTTGGGTCCATTCCTGGGCTATTTAAGTATTTTATTATGCAAGGTAACATCAAATGTTGCAAAAGTAGAAAGAATATGGGGAGAGGAAAGTTGGACTGATGCCCTAGCAGTGAGTCACAGATGTGCAAATAACAGGTTTAGAGCTCTCTTAGTAAAATGTACCTTTTCTTCTTGTATTGGGGATTAAAGCTTGTCCCAGTTCATTATGAAAATGAAAGCTCAGTGTAGTGTTCCATGTGATGCTATGGGAAATATGATAGGAATCCTTTTTAAAGCCAGTTTGGTGTTGTGAATAGCTCTTGTGTGCAAAGCAGATGCTCTACCAGTGAGCCACGGCCCCTTCCCACTTGTTCTTAGAAAAGTCTCTTTCTTTTAGCCTAAGTTGTTCCAGAGGCTTGTGTGAGAACAAAATGAGGGTATTTCACACATTTGTAATGCTTCCTTGAGCTCTTGGAGCATGGGCAGGATGCATAATGTCTGATGCATAACTGCAAATGTTTTCAGATTCTTCTTGAAATGCTGTAATTGTTTTTTTACTCATTCCTGAAAATTATGGCAAGTTTATTGGCAGTAAATTCAGTGTTCTTCAGTTTTACTAAAACTATCACTTTATGATACTGAATTGTTTTAAAAGGTTTTATGGTTGTTATAATTGTTGTTTATGTGTTTCTGTCTCTTATGTTAGCCCCCCTGAGCCTGCTTTGGTGGGGAGGGCGGGGTATAAATTGAATAAACAAACAAACAGAGTGGACTTGGTCTCAGGGGCAGCACAATATTTTGTTGTTTGTGGGCATAGGCCCTGCTTTAGGATTACCACCAGCATCCAGGTGGGAAATCACAACTGATCTCCAGACTATAGAGATTATTCCCTCTAGAGTAACTGGCAGCTTCAGAAGGTAGGCTCTGTGGCATCACACCTCCCCACCGAGTTCCCTCTGCTCCCCAAACTCTCCAGGAACTCCCCCAAATCTCCAGGAACTCCCCAGACTGGAGCTGGC